AAAAATAGCCTTAAAATGAAAATATTTTTAAAAGCAGTTAACAGAACAATGTGCATGTTCATTGATTCTTAAAATGAAGATTTTTCATCTATTTCTTGCTGCCAATTGTCCATTAACTCTGAGGAGTATCTTTTACCAAAGGCAAAAGTGGCAGTTCCTCCATTTGATTCTGTGTAGGTGCAGCTGCTGAAAAATCAAGCTTTTCAAATGGTCTTCTTTTATTTCTGGGTTTTCTGATTTGCACTGAAATTAGTCATTTATGCATTCATCATCCCCAGGGGTTTTCACTTGTATTTTCTGTAGATCCTGGTTGGCCACAGATTACTGAATTAAACTGCACAGAAGCAGTCCAGACACATCCCTTCTTAAAGCAGCCCTGCTTTGTCCTATCCAGCCCATTAACATGAACTGCTAAGCCAACTAAGATGATGCAAATAATATTTAGCGATCAGGAAGCCTTCTGGTTTAAGGTCAGAGTTAAGGCTACCTGATGTGGGCTCCAGTTCCATAGAGCCAGGAATTGGGAAGAACAAAACACACAAAAATACAAAAAAACCTGAAGCAGGTTTTAGTTTTGAGGAGCACTGACTGTTAAAAGTGTGGTGGAACTAAGCTCTCTTCCTCTGCCATCCAAAGGTTACGACTGAGGAGGCCTCGCTAACTTTGCTGGCGTCACTGGCCTACATGCCCCTGGTGCTTACACAGGGACCCATGGCCTGAGTGCAGTGTCCCCAGAGAAGATCCCTCCTCAACTCTGGAGGACAGGCAGGAACTAACATCGTGCTATTTTTGGTGCCTCCTGAAAACAGGAAGACTTCTTGAAGAAACCAGCTGGAGTTTTGTTGGTTTTATTTATTTATTTATTTATTTATTTATTCAGGGGACTTCTATGCCGCCCCATTCGCCGAAGCCTCGATAAATAAACTTCAAAATAGAATAATATAAATTAATAATATATATTAATAATATTAATAATTAAAATAACATTTGAATAAAAGGTCTTCGCCTGGCGCCAAAAAACAAATAACGACAGCGCCAGGCGGACCTCTCTGGGGAGCGCATTCCATAGATTGGGCGCCACCGCAGAGAAAGCCTTCCTCCGAGTACTTACCCTCCTAATTTCCTTTACGGAGGGTTCCCGGAGAAGGGCCTCTCCCACTGATCTCAAGGGGCGGGCGGGCATATATGGACGTAAGCGCTCCTTCAGGTAACCAGGACCCAAGCCGTTAAGGGCTTTATAGATCATCACCAACATCATTTTAACATATTGTCTGATTCTTGTAGACTATGGAATCTTTGAACTGGTATGTGGATTGGTAAATCTGCTAAATAAATAAATAAATATCAGCTGAGGACTGTGAGACGATTAAACCAGTCAGTCCTAGAGGAGATCAACCCTGACTGCTCTTTAGAAGGCCAGATCCTGAAGATGAAACTCAAATACTTTGGCCACCTAATGAGAAGGAAGGACTCCCTGGAGAAGAGCCTGATGCTGGGAACAATAGATGGCAAAAGAAGAAGGGGACAGCAGAGAATGAGGTGGCTGGATGGAGTCACTGAAGCAGTCAGCGTGACCTTAAGTGGACTCCGGGGGATGGCGGAGGATAGGAGAGCCTGGAGGAATGTTGTCCATGGGGTCGCAATGGGTCAGATGCGACTTCGCGACTAGCAACATTCTACAGCAGGCCCTGTTACAAATACACTCTGACCTCACCTCGCCAAGACATGGCACGTATAAGAAGGACTAACACAAATTTTGGCCACACTCATATGGGAAGAAGCACACCTTCAGATATTGTTTGGGCTCTTACTGGTAAGCACCAGCGCCTTGAACTGGGCTCAGAAATATGTAAATCAATGTGTGCACATTAGGAAGGGTAAAAACACTGGTAATTGAAACTTTGAAATGTTTCCTCCAGAACATCCTGGAACTTGTCAGACGAGCAACACAAGTTGTAAACAATGGTAAAACACAGCCTCCTTCTTCCAGAGGATAAACTAAGGGTAAAACCTTCTACATGCTTAGGTAGGAAAAAAAGGCCAGCAACTTCTGGCTTGTGCCAGCCAGCCTTGCTAGCTGGGGCATCTTGGGAGTTGAAGAACTTGTCTACACATGTGCAGGATTGAGCCTATGGTGATTCTGAATAGCAGCAACCACCAAGTTTGGTCCAAGCATCCTCATCCTCAAATCCGGAGGAACAAACCCAAAATTCACAGTTAGGTATCTTTACTAGGACCGTCCAAAGTAAATTAAAATATTTTGTGTTCATTCACGTTTCGGAGAACTCTCAGCCAGGCTCTAGGCTGGGTGAGAGGCAGAGGATGGGGAAGGGCTTTCGGATCCTGTGGCCATGAGGTCTGCATGGGGAAAAGGTGGTGGCAGGTCAGTGAGTCACTGACTGATGTTCCAGGTATGAATAACACCTGGCGAGCCATAAAGGCCCGCTGGAAAGGATAGCTGAAGAATTATACTTATTTTTTCTTATTCCATCTTTCTTGGAGAGAACACATGAGAAATAATTTTGAACCATCTGAGCAAAGGGTCTGGTTAAGACAAAAATAACAAGTACTGATGGCATTTAATTGTCCTTCCCCCTCCTTTTCCTCCTACTTTTTCCTGTTGCTGTTTGTATTGAAACCGCTACTTATCACTTTGTGACATGTGGTAATGAAAGAGTAGAAAAAGAGGGGGGCGTGTGCATGAAGGAAGGCTCAGATAAACAAAAGGAAGATTGGGAGATGAGAAAGGGAAGCTGTAAGAACCAACAACAAAAACACTGGTATATTTGACCTGGCATTGAATGTGTGATGTTAGTCCCGGCTCCAATCATACGCATACTTACTTGTAAATAAGTTCCAAGTTTGGGAGCCTAACTCTGACTGCCACCTCTGATGCAGGCTAAGGATGTTGGCAACAAAAAGACGGGCCTTTTCAGTGTTGGCTCCCCGGTTTGGAGCACGCTCCCCACTGAGGCCTGCCTGGTGTCAGCTTTACTTTCTTTTTGATGCAAGGTAAAGACTGTCCTCTACTGCAGGGCATTCAGTTAGTCTACTGGAGCCAGCTAGTTAAAGCAGGTCTTAAGATTTTCTTCTAATTTTTGTAATTTTTTTTATATTTTAGAATTGGTTTTAAATTTTATATTATAAAATTTTAATGATGTTTTAATATGGGGCATTTTATATTGTACTTTTAATGTGACATTGTAAACCACCCAAGACAGTATAGAAAACACTGGACAGTATAGAAAATGAATAAATGAATAAATTAGTGGTTATTTATAAATAACAGTTCCCAGATGAATAAGCATGCATTATTTTACTTGCCTGCTTGTCACCAGAACCAGACAATTAACTGCAGTGTCTGTAGATGCCGCTCAGTTCATAGCCATGCTGATAAATACCTGCGCTAAGTTTTATATTTATTTTGTACAAGAAAGTAAACATCTTTGCGGTTTCCTTTTAAACTCCATAGAAAATAATCCCAAATTTATTACAATTGTGTCTTTTCCATAAACATATTGCGTTATGTCTAGATGGACAGTGCAGTCCCATGCATGTCTATTCAGAAGCCAAGTCCCACTGACTTTAATGGGGCTTATTCTCAGGTAAGTAGATATTGGACTGTAACTAAACTCAGGCTAACTAGGTGGCTAACTTGTCCCATTGACCCAATTCATATCATGCATAGCCACTGATAGGATGGCACCATTCCCTATATACAGACGGTAGTCCTATATTCTGACAGGCTTCTAGTCCAAGTCCAGCAGAGAGAACAAGAACTGTCAGAAGGACAAGGCCTTGCCGTTGCCCATCAACAGCACCTGGAAAGCACCCTAAGCAAGGCACACAGGTTCTTCCTAGCAGCCTTTCACACCTTGGCGAGATGCACAGTTTTTCTGTTGAAATTGTATTTCTAACTTTGCATGCCTACAGATGAAAGAGGATACAAACTTTTCATGCAAGCTATTGTCCTTTTTTATTATTTTTGGAGAGGGGACACACCCTCTTTTTGGCCGTCCATAAGTGTTCACTTTATAAGCCTGGCTACCAGAGGACCCCTGGCTTATCCTGCATGATAAGGGGGAAGAACCCTTATTGTGCACAGTAAGGCAAAGGAACTCTGACGTACTGTGTACTAGTTGCATCGTTGTACAGGATGCTGCTCACTTCGGCTGCAAACCATGGATCACTGGGCCATGGTTTGTGCAATGTAAACCCTGCGCAAACTACACACCAGAGAAAAAGCTCAGGATCAGTTGCTGGGTTGTTTCTTTTGCTCATCAGAGGAGACAAGGCAGCGGTCTGGGAATAATCCAAACCCAATGTTCATAAAGGATGCTAGGGATCTGGAAGAGCCCCGGCTCAACCTGCCATGAGAAACCTCCCATTGATGTTAATGATGCTGAAGTTCAGCTGGGCTAGTCTGTGATTAATCCATTGTAAACGGACTTGGAGTTTACCTGGAAGTGTAGAGTCCAGAGTCATGGGATACTTTTGATTTTCCTAAGGATCAGCCCACAGTGCCAAGGACTGGTGTTGGTGGTGAAAAACTATGCTGGGGATATTAGTGACTTCAGGAACACTGGGGTGCAGTGCCATGACACTGGTTGCAAGACACGGGTCTCAAAATACCACCAAAACATCTGCTTGAATTCTTTGTTTTCAGAACCTGCTAACAGGTAGGTACCTGAAAATGTTCAAATATGTTTCCAAAATAGTAAGTAGGCTTTTTAAAATTCTGTATTCTGTACCAGATAGACTGAGGTTTTGGATGTTCATTTTCATCCTGAACATTCCACTTTATCAATGTTGTACTCACACACAAATTATTCATCTCAGTTGGGAACAAAAAACTTATGTGATACTTTTATTAGGCAAACCAAATGATCTGAAAGAAAGGAGCAAAGCTCTTCCTTCAAAAAAATAAAAAGGGGGAGAGAGATAAGGGTTCAAAAGGCTAATTTCATCATAATAAACCCCCCAAAAACTAAGAAAAGAAGTTTATGCAGGACATAAAATTTTATTCTGAAATGATCTCTGGCCACAACAATAAATGTAACAAATATTCACTAAAACAGTTTTAACTCCTGTTCTCAGCTATACAATACATATGCAGTATCATAAAACTGGCCACAAGGATTAAAACCTCCTACAACATATTTAATGTGAAGTTGGCTGTGACAGCAGCAGCATCTCACGTAAAAATTTACATACATATATACACAATCCACATTCAATCATTTTTCCACATTTTCAGTACACACAATTGCAGCATATTACAGTCACGTGTCTAAGTCATTGCTTATTTAAAAAAGAAAAGAAAAACAAACCCAATGTACACCTTAGACATAATCGTAGCAATTGAGCTGAGTAAATACAATGACTTTTTCATATTACTTTGTATTTTGTAGCACAGATGTACATGCCCCTAGAAACCATGTAATTCACAAATGTTTTTGTTATTTTAATGCTACCATAGCATTTCAAGTGGGTAATGCTAAAATCTTTACTGACATAAAAATGTTTAAAAAAGAAAAGAATATATGTTTACCAGCTACCTCTGATTGAAAAAAACCTTATGAAAAATAGACGGAATTGAAGAACTCTGACACGTGCCTAAAGAGTCTAATATAGCCCATTGCTACTTTAACAGACACAATCCCCCAAGCACTGTTGCTGTCCAGTCTCCATTCACTTCAATGGCATCTGCGCAAGGTTTCATGCAAGCCCCATTGTCATCAATGCTGCCTGCTTCGCAGTAGCCATAAAGTGTCTTTTTATTAAAACAACAACAACAACAACATTCTTCAGGAGTCCTTTCATGACCCCCAAACCACCCACCAAGGTAAAAGTGGCATTAAATGCCTTGCACCCAAATTGTAAAAATTCCCGGCTGCATTTATTGGAGCCAGACGCGTAGAAAAGGAATGCACTTTGGTTCATACCAAATGCCCTGGGATTAATTCTCACTATAAAATTAAACAGTTTGAGGTAATTTTTTTCCTTTTTACAAATACAGTTGATTCTGTCTAGTGCTGTCATACCAAAACAAAAAATAGTTCTTTAAAAATCAGTCCAATGTTAAGGTTACAGCTAACTACTATGAAGTGCCATCTTTAACCCTTGAAGGAGCATGAAAATAACTACAACAGAGTATTCTGTCTCCTGCTGAATAGTATGATAGCCTTGCTGATCTATAGTAAAGCCCTGAAAACTCGGGGCAAAATCAACTGGAAACCTCTCCTGCTCATACCCAATGGATAGAATTGTGAATCTTTTGAGAATATACTAAAATGTTCTCATGGAGCACTCATTAATTTCACTGAGATGTACACAGGAGAAGCTGCTAGTAGATTAGGCAGAGAGACATATTAAAAACAAGTATAGTATTTTAAAAATAGATTTCCACCTTAGTACATAGTACAGCATTCAAAGGGTTAAAGAGACAACATTGCATGCTGCACAACATGAAGTTGTTCGTAACAAAAGGCACATTGTTAACATCAAGGGCACAATTTGATTCTCCATGTTTCTTTTACACATCTTGCACTCTATTGTCCTCCTGGTTATACCAACATACTGAAGAAGCAAATTTTCCAACCCTCCAGCAGCACACGAGCTGGGCAAAATGAGACTGCTACTCAAGAAAAGGCAACACTGTGCTGTTCCTACTTCTGCGAAGAAGCACAGATGTCCCCAGACAATGGTAACAAGTGATGCTAAGCAAAGTTTCCAAGCCAACCTCTATCAGACCAACTAATTAGAGCCCTTAGAAACAAAATCATGTCAAAGCAAGAGGCAACATCCTTTAAAATGTGTTTTTTTTCTTCCCTATTTCCCCTCCCTATACCAATTAAAAATAAACTACAATAAAAAGCAGCCAGCTCAGTAAAAACTGTAAGATTTCTGCCCCTTTTTACTGTGAAAGCACACAGGATGTTTCATATTAGGATTAAAGAAGAAGCAGCAGCTCTGCACACTGTATTTGGGCCTAAAAGTTTCCGGTAGCCTCTATGATTATGACCAATTACAAATGCACGATCAGTATTTAAGTTCTGGTTCCTTGTTTCCATCACAATTCTTTCCCATTTATGTTAACATCTGCAGGATTGCATTAAAATGTAATGGACACATTTATTTAATACTATGAATTTTGCGGGGTGGGGGAAGAAATCACAGGTCCATCCCAAGCACCTGGCCCATACTAGCACACTCCTGTGCATGTAAAACTCCCATTCACATCTATGCAGGGCTCCCCATATAGCCACTGTTGCTCGCATGCTGCCCAGCATCTCTCTGAATGGAGAAAGCTGTACATCCAGAGCTCCAGTCAAGCACTGGGGGCCCATGGGGACTGGGATCACAGGCTAAGTGTATAGCTAATCATCAAGGTAATCAATGGACGCTTAGATCCCAAAGTTGCTTTTGCTGTTACACACATGTATGCATATTGCATAGCCACACACTAGAGAATGGCATACATTTAATACTATAAATAATTTAGTGTCATTTGGGAATTTAAGAGGTTTCTAAAAATGGGAATTTAAATAGGCATAATAACGAACATTGCTAAATATTAACAAACATCTTCTTTTAGCCACAGATCAGTTTGTGGGGAGGTTGGCAAGCAAGGGAATTTTTTGTTTCCTGAGAATTCATTTTTTTTAATGTATGCCCATTTCACAAAGCATAGTTAACAAAAACACATTTTCATTTTTTAAAAAATATGAAATATCTGAATTTTTTAAAGAAATTGACCGGAAACTTTCTTGGCCTCTCTGGGGACCATGCTTTAAGTAACTAAAGACATTGTTTACAATTATTGTAATTAGATTTGTGCATATCATCAAAGTTGTGAACATTATTATTGAAGCTTGCTAAAACCAAACCAAATCTCTCATTATTCTAGTACCCACAATTGTTTGAATTTAAGCCTGAGACAATTTAAAACTTCTCACTAAATATCATGATCACTGCATATGTAACATTGATTTTAACAACGTTAGTTTGCATTTGAAAAAAAAAATCTTCCAATGCAGGATCCGTGTATTTGAATTATTTTCATTCAACCTGGTCTTGGCTTTCCTTCTCCATGCAAAATAAATAAAAAATTAACTAGGTTGCACTACATACATCTAACCTATGTCTATCTGATCAAAACTTCAAGCCTCTCTGTGACAGAAGAAGCAAGTGAACAGGCCCAAGGTGTCCTTCCTTGAAAATGACCATGTTTACAAAACTGAAAAATCAACCTAATGCCTGCTCTTTCATTCGAAGTTTCCATTAAGAGGTAACATGAAGCTGCAACTGTCTTTTGACTTTCTCTCCATACAAGCTTCCCAAGCATACCAAACTTGTAAATGAGTTAAAGCTTGCACATGCCTTTATTTGCTGCACAAATGCTTCTGTCTCGTTTTCAAACCACTCATTTGTACCAGTCAACACTTGGACGAGATCTTCGACAAATCTGGAACATGATTCCTAAGGAAAGACACTAGAAGAATAGATGCAACTCCACTGATTACTAGAATATCTCATAGACAGCTCCTTAAATATTCAAGTAATGCCTCTAGAATCTAATGGCAGTGCTATAGAATTACTGTAGGAATCATCACTGGTGTATTGATGTTTTCAGCAACAGATACATACAATGTAGACGTGAAATATGTATTAGCACACATATTTAAGCACACCAGTGAACATGTCTGGAAAACCTGATTGGCCCAGATGTTCTAGATGTGCACACAGGGGTAACTTGAACACATGTTTTGCAACAATTGTAAAACAGCACAGCTCTAATATTTAGATAGTATACTGCATATTGCTTTTAGAGTTCCATTTTTTAAAAACAACAACCCAAATATGGTTTACAGAAATAGCTAAATAATGGTAGCCTCAGTTGTGGTACGATGTATCATTGAGGTCATAATCCATCAGGCAACCATATCCAGCAAGGCATTCTCCAGCACAACTTCCATTGAAATGAATGGGCACAAGTGGAACTCTTGTACCACTCGTATTTAATTTAATAAGAGTGTACTATTAAGTTTCCTGGTGAATTGTGCCTAACCTTTCTCTCTGTAAAAATCAGGGTTGATATCCAATGCTTTCTCAGTGCTATTGCCAATATCATTGCACAGGGATGAAGTGACACGAGCAAAATGGCATTAACACTTGCTAAGAAAAAGATAAGGCAGTGATTCATCACCAAATTTCAGTGGTGCTGTTTACCACCAAATTTCAGCAGCGATTCACCGCTTTTCCCCTTTGCCTAGCAACATCATTAGCACTTGTGCTGTGACAACACTGGATACTGTCCAAAGCAAAAATTGAAATTTCTACAGGGGTCTGGTCAACACAGATTCAAATCAGACAGTTCTTCTGAATACACATGTAAAGGCTGCTCTGTGCTTTCAAGCACAGGTAGACAGAAGATAACAGGTGAGAACAAAAGAATACAAATATGTATCTCAAAGTTTTTACTGCTTCAATGTCCAGTATGCAATATTTTGCTTTGCATGGTTTTTTCCTTCAGAAATCACATCAGATCTATAGATAGCATGCTTCCATCCACCTTCATTTATCCTTCTATACTAATAAGGATATTATATCATTTCTGAAGAACATTTTGTTCATATTTAGTAACTGATTGATTGAAAATTCCTAAACAATATATTTTGGAGCTCATTTCTGCAGATTTGTGGGAGAGCTAATGGGAAACTGGACACTGGGAGCACACAAATATCACACATACTGTGTTGGTCTGCCCCAGTTCTGAGCAAAGTTTTGGAATCTTAGTATGGATTAATGGATTAATAAAGCCAGGTCAATACATTCAAACCAATCCTGGCAAGAAAACTTCCATACAGAAATATTCCAGGAACTCTGTGCTGTTTCTGGAGAAAAATCAAAGAATTCTGTCCATTCCTTAACAGATCTGAACCCACAGGTTCAATGGGGTAAAACACACACACACACACATATATATCTCAGCACAAGGATAAGCAACTTGGTGCCTTCCAGAAGTTTTGGATAACTGTTCCCATATGCCCCAGAAAATGCCTAGTTTTTATGGGACTTGTAGTAAAAACTACCTGGAGGATACCTGGTTGCCTACCTCTGGGTTTAATTCTGTAATAGTTAAATTATACTCGTACCTCATTTGATGCGGTACGAGTAATTATTCACAGCCTGTAAAAAGAGTATTACATGTAAAACTGAACTGTGAGTCCCTAAGGGCGTGATCTTAAGCATGTATAGACAGAAAATAATCCTACAACTCTGAGCATGCCCCAGTTAGCAAGGCTGGCTGGCACATGCTGGAACCCCTAAGTGATCCAACCCGAGGTAGCCGTGGGACTTCCACAATACAGAACCTGGAGGAAAGGAGAGGGAAACGTCAATCAGAGTATGCTTGCTGCCTGCATTGATGGACCTGGTAGACAGTGAGAATCCTGAAAATGTTAGACCCATGCGGTATACAGAGCTGAAAGGGCAGCTTAAGTCTGCTCTTGCATCCAGAAAAAGGCTCTGGTTTGGCTGCGTGAAGTGGGGTGGGGTGCAGGAATCTTCTTTCCTTATTCTTTCCTCCCAAGGGCTCCTTTTTTTGTTGAGTTTTTCCAATCAAACAATTGGAAATTTGGGAGAACCCTGAAATACACTCTCATGAAATATTTTCCCTTTTGAAATGAATGGCCATGTTCAAGAATGGAAATTCCTGTGTACAGTCAGCATACACAACATTCATCTCCAAAATGCATTTTGCACCTTCCTTGCAGTCAATTCTTTCGCTATTCCTCTTAGCTGAGTCAGACACAGACGCTCTGCTACCAAACAGTGCAATGTTTTGCCTGTCTACTCAGATATATAAGTCCCGCTTAGTCCAGTGGGACTTACTTCCAGGTTTAAGAGTGTATAGGATAGCAGCCTAAAGCATTTTAAATTTTGAGGCTGCCCCTCTGGGTGCACTTTCCTGGGAGCAAGGTCCATAGAATAACTGTAAACTTCTGAGTAAACATGCAGGTGATTGCTCTCTGAAGTTCATAAATATGCCAAATACTGCAATTTATAAGCTAAGTTATAAATTATGCATTTATGCTGTAAAAGCAATAAAATAAGTTCGACTTTAGAAAGAAAGTCTTGCATATATTTTACTTTTTTCCAGAATTTCCATTTTCCCTCTCTGGACACCAGACAGGGAAATGCCACATGGGAACTGGGGCAAGCTCGGGGGCTGGTGTGAGTGTGCCGAAATGAAAACCCCCTACAGCTTTTCAACGTCTTCATTGTCATGTAGCAGATACCTGCTATAGGTGCGAGAAATCTGTTAATTATCTCTATTAGGGATGCAGCTTCTACAAGCAGCTATGCAGAACCTTCACTTGTACCCCTGAATGTTTTCTAAATCGCCAAAGAAAAATACAGGTCAATGTTTGCGGGATTGGAGTCTACTGCTACAATCAAAAGCAGAAATAGGCAAGTATTATTCACTCCAAGGAAAAGCCAATATGAACCATGGGGTGGGTGAAGAACAGAGCCTCCACTCCCCATCAAACTATAATATATGGTTGTTAGGTCATAACCAGTGGCCTGCCACTGACACTTATTATCGTGCCACACAAATCCCATAGTAAGGCTAACTGTATTTTATAAGAAAAACATTTCATTAAAAAAAAGTGTAAAAACTTAAAGCATTGTCCCCATGTTATTTTTATAAAATCAAACCCAATTTTCTTACATATTTAAAGTGAGTACTGAAAAAATACAAATGTTTAAAGTTACTGAGCAAATAAAAATAGAAATCTGAGCTACTTTTTCATATGAATAAGGCTCAGTGACATAATAATTCTTGTTGTTTGCAAAATCAGCATCAGATTATTCAAACTCAGCTAACAAGTTTTGGCAACACGGTTCTTTGCTGAATATTCCCATTGGCATCTGTCATCTGTGCCAGATTAGTCCTCAGTTTTGAAGCTGAGTTTGAAGTTGGAGGTAACTTGGAAATTGATGTGATAGCACCAGTGCTCTCTGTTATTCTTTTTGCTGATGTCTTCTCCCCAGTCGGAGGCTTTGGCAAACGTCTCCTTAGCCAGGGATGCCGTAAAGCCTGACCGGGTGTCATGCGCAAGGTAGGATCCCACTCTAAACACTGTTTCAAGAAGTCAAGGAAGAGGGGATCGTCACATCCTTTCAGTGCGCTCCCCCACTCTCTGCTCTCTGGTGGGCCACGCAACTTGCCCCTCCGGGAACGGCCACCATTGAGTACTACAGAACCATCTGACAAGGTAGTAATGGTACAGTACCGGGGATAACCCTTTGAGCTCACAAAATTTTTTGCTCTTTTGGATGAATCTAACAGTTTTTGAGAAGGCATGCCCAGCAGTTCTATCATACAAGCCAGCTGATCCCCTTCGTCTTCTCCTGGAAGGAGTGGATAACCTGTTAAGAGCTCTGCAAGAATGCAGCCCAGGCTCCACATGTCTATGGGCATCCCATAACGAGCACCGAGGATGACTTCTGGAGCACGGTAAAAACGTGACTGAATGTAAGTGTAGACACGCTGGTGCTCGTAACAGCTGGAGCCAAAATCAATAACTTTAATGCCACTCCGACCCTGTTGCTTCAACAGAATGTTCTCTGGCTTAAGGTCACAGTGAATGATTCTGTTTTTGTGCAAAGCATCCAAGCACTGCAAAATCGAGTGGGCAAACTTACGAACCAGTGGCAGGCTAAAGCCCTGAAATTTGTTTTTCTTGATGAGCTCATAAAGGTTCATGCTCAGCAACTCAAATGTCATGCAGATATGGTTGCGGAATGTGAAGTTTTCCAGCATGTGTATAACGTTCATGTTGTTATCCTTATCCTGCTTTTTTAGGTGCTCCAGAATTCTAATTTCTTCTGCGGCTTGGCGGTGAAAACGCTTCTCGTTCCTCACCATTTTCAGGGCTACGTGCTGATGCATTTTGTGATCATAGGCCTTCACCACTTGTCCAAAACTTCCTTTCCCTATAACCTTCAGGACCTCATATCTGTATAAGATATGATCATGGGGTACTTGTACGTAAGACCCCTGGTCGTCATCATATCCACAATTGTTTGGACCACCAATTACACCTTGTCTCTTCTTTGCATTTGGACCCAAAAAGTAGATTTCAGGGTAGTTGAAGACTTCATGATGCTCAAAGGCTGTTAGCTTTTGCATGTATTGCTTCATTGCTTGCTCTGGAGTTAAAGGACATGCTTTCACCTTCCCTGGCCCCTCTGTGGACTTCAGAGAGCTGGAGCTCCCTTGCCGCCTATGAGCGCTGTCCAGCTGTCGGTCTTGCACCACCGGCAATCCTGATTTTGCTACTGTTGTAAGCCCATTGGGTTGCGTTGTCAGGACGGTCCTTTTGTTGCTATTGTCTTCAAACAGTTGCTGAACCTGTATCTGCCCATGGCTGGCAACATGTAGGTGCTCATTCATTGTGTGCTTATTTCCACCAACCTAAAATACAAAGCACAATTTTCCAGTTAAAAAAGAAGGTAGGCTGGAATGGTTCCAAACTGAATAAATGAGTGGAGGAGATAGATCCTGTTCTTTATTCAAGAGCCATTTGTACATCCCAACCGTGCTCTCAAGGACCTACACCGGGAGTGGGTAACATGTTTCTCCCTCATCTATTTGAAGCTCCCACCAAACCATACCACCAAAAAGCTGCAGTTTGTTGCCGAACTTCCTGCCTTCCAATGCCACCAGATTTTGGTAGCAAACCTGGCAGCAGGGAAGCAGCGGGGATGCAGCCCCCAATGAGTTCCTGGTGAAGGGGGCTGGGCCTGGTTGTTGGCCATACCTGGTCTGCACACTTAAACCATTAGGCAGGATCCAGACTACCAACAGGTGGAACTTTGCCCATCACACACTCCCCTGGAAGAAGAGGGACAGGCCATTGTTCCTTCTTTCAACACACAGTCCCAGAAATCTCAAAAACTGCTTGGGAGGGTTTGTGGGAACCCTCCAGAAGAGCATGAGAGCATGAGAAGAGCTCTATCGGTTACAGAGGGAATCAGCAAAAACTTCCTGCCCTTCATCGCAAGCATGAGCCTCCACTGGAAATCAGCCCTTTCTGCACTGGCAGAAGGGCACGTTTGGGTCCATCTCCATGATATGGTGCTCTCCAAACAGCCACTGCCCCATGCCAGACAACCTGCCCTCCATCCCAGAAAGTTATGCCTGCTTTCCCCATCCGACCACCTACTGTTATGTTGTTATTCCTTTATGTAACATCTGATGCAACTAAACTTAGCCTTCTGCAAGAAGCTGCCACTGCAGTTCCCAATACAATAATTTAAAATGATTTTTGTATTGATTATTGTAAACCAACCAGCGAATTCTGGCTATTGGTCAGCATGGAACCTAAATAAATAAAGGCAGGATGCAATCCTATTCCCTTGAATATTTGGAGGGGTTTTTTTCACATTTTACTTGCTCTTGCTCACTCTAAGATATATCTGAAACAGCAGCATGAGAGTCCTACCACAACAACCAAAATGACTTGGCTGATACAAGTTCTCCCTCATATCTAAAACACACCATCTGGTTGTGTTCATGAATAGCGCTAGAGCTATGGTTAAAAAAAGAATTAAAACCTGTGGAAAAATGGTGCATTGACCCTGTTGACACACATTAAACGTGGACAGATAATACAAGGATATAGACATTCCCCATATGGATTCAGAAGCAGGCACTAAGTAAATTGCAGACCCTAACAAGGGTTACAAAAAACAGGATTGGAAAGATGCTACTGGCTTGCTCAAGTCTTTGCCAGTATTTGTCAATGCATTCAGTGGGAGTGGGGGAGGGCGTTGTGCATGTGTGAGACCGAGCGAGAGAAAGAGAAAGGACATGACCTTGTATTTGTTTACCTTCAGTTTCCTGGAAACTTGTTTGGCTCTAAAATTATTACTGTGCTGGTCACTGAGAATGAATCAGAATGAAAAAGATGCATTTTATTAAACCAACAGCAGTTTATCAGATCTATTTACAGTCTCGCTCTCTGTGTCTGTGGAGAACAGGTTGAAATTACTTTTGTGTTGTCCTTAACTGGTTTAAGATTTGTTGGAAAATCGTTATCACACCTTTAAGAAATAATGCTACTGCAATAATATGCAGATAAACCAACAGCTGTCAAACCATCACTTTGGATTTTTTATGTAGGAAATATATAGAAGGAAAAAGTGTGGTTGTATCCAGAAACCTTTAATGCAAAATGTCACATCTTTCTCTCACCAATTCTGTTACCTTGCTCCTTAGAGACATGAGCAAAATATGGGTAGCATCTGATTCTTATCATTGCTTCTAGGTACTAAAACCAAAAAACAAAACAAAACAAAGCAAAAACAAAAACCCCAACCCCTGCATATTCTGAGTTCTCTTTGGCACAAGCATTGAGTCTTGAGTACCAGGAAATCAGGGGCCTCTTTTCTGGCTGTCTTTGTCATGTTTTCCTGTTCATGGTTCTGTGATTAAAACAACTTCATGCACAGGTAGCCATTTGACATGTGGAACTTCTCCCAATAAGAAAATTTCAATGAGAATAACTACACCTGCTGAATTTCTACCTGTTGTTGGGCTAATGAAGGCATACTTGAAAAGGTGGCAATCCTTCCTGTTACAAGGGGATGGATCTGGATTAGTCCCATGCAACTAACTATGTTGCTGAAAGTAGACTTCACTGATGCGATTTGCCCGCACATCCCACCTTCTGAAGATGCTGCACAAAGCATCCAAGTCCCTGCAGTGCAGGGGCTGGGAAGAAGGGCAAACCCGCAAAACTGGAAGGAGGTACCTTCCATGAGTGAAGCCCTTCTAATTTCCAAAAGCAAACCCTGAATCCTACCTCAGAGTTACTAAAAGTACTGATACTTCAGGGAAAGCACATTCTTTCCAAATCCTGATTCTGAGTGTGAAAGAGGGCTGGGCTGCATGCAGCAATGCCGCCAAATGATCGACATGCATGTCCATGGCCTATGGCTGCATGATGGAAAGAGCATGTAATTGTGCCTTCCTGCTCTGACACTGCAGCTCCCATTATGTATCTTGCAGGTTTCAGGTTTGAGAAAATGGATTCAAACTACTGTACTACCAACCATGCTAGAGACAGGTAGGGTGGATGCAATGATTTTCTATGGCACAACTTGCACAGGTCTTCAGCTCCCCATTGCCTAACAACAGCAACCCCTGAAAATACTTCTTTCTGTTAAATTAAGATTCTGAAAAGGAGTGCAGGAAAAGAGGAACCAAGAGTGAATTCCTGTGTGAGGGTGGTTCTGGTGCTGACTGCAAATTCCTTTGCTGAGCGTATGCTCAGGGGCATCCTTAATTTCTTAATTTGTAGGGTATGTCTACCAGCCCAGCCCACTCTTTTCTAGCTAAGTTCCAGTAGAGAAAACAAGCAAAGAAGGTCCCAAGTCTGTCCACATGTACTCTGCAGTTCCCAATTCACCCGGCTATAGGGCACTGTTGCAGTTCCATTGGTCTTGGCAGCTCAAGAAAGGGCTGAATCACATATGCAACTACACCAGCACATAGTTTGGACTTGCATATCACGTCTATTATGTGAATGTCAGCTAATATAATATCATAATTATGCTTACTCCTCTGAGAGCTGTGGCTATCAGGAGACTCATAATTTGCACAAGTAACTAAATAAAAGATTTCTGTGTCTAGAAGACAGTCCAGCAGTGTTTCCACATATGTAGGCTGACCCATGCAGTCTGGTTCTGGGGGAACTCATCTGTACTAAGTAGTCTTTAGTATGCATTTGCCATTATTTGTCTATTCTATTGCTTGTATCTGGTAACAAAAGCTGGTGACTGCATCACTGTAAAAGGACTACAGATACTAATTGCCATTAAGTCCATACAATGTTACAGTTCACTTGCAACAGGTCACAGCTGTGCATTCTCCTGAAGACCATCTTGCCAGCTTTGACGCATGACCACTGAGTTTCACCCATTAACACACGCATATGCCTCCCACCTACAACACATGCAACCACACAGCATCCGTGCACGGTCATACCCAAAGACACACCATGCTTCACTTATCTCTGATCACACAAGCAGCCCATCTTTGAGATCAAACCCATTGCCAAGCTACTCCATAAAGGAGGATCCTACTAGGAATGGAAGAGTGCACATCACTTCCTTATTCCCATTCTGCTTTACCCATTCCCTTCTCCAAGAGAAGTAGAATGAATGACACAATTTGCAGCAATACAGTTTGGAGAAGGAAGAAAGCTTGGTGGGGCCTGATCAATACGGGCCAGGATAAGTTCTGGAGAACCACACAGAAACAAGAAAGCCTATGGTCCTGGTCTCCAAACCAGTCACTGAATTCTAGCTATGCATACCACCAACAGGGGTGTGTATGTCCATGAGTGTGGCATCCACAGGACTCGGTGTGCCCCGACATCTGGACACAGGTATCCACGCGGGGCAGCCGCAAGGGCATGAAGGCGAGGACAAGCAGGATTCCTGCATGCTGACTTCCAACGGGCTGCTCCGGTGGAGCTTGTCAAAGGCTCCACAAAGGTGAGTCAGAAGTCACTGCATGCACGCACACAGATCAGCCTCGAGACAGTCGGCAGAGGGAACAAATGACACTGCCAGTGTCCCAGCGGTGACTCGCAGTCCTGGGTCCCTTTGAGCCAGTCAGGCATGACAGGATGCTCCAAGTGCCCACACTGGCCGCTGACAGTTCTCTACCCCGCCTTCGCTTTGCTTCCCACTCACACTGAACCTGCCTGCTGCAGCCATGACCTATTTACACGGATAAGGAGTAAATCCAAACAGAATTATTTAAAGAGCAGAAAAGGTGGGAAAAATCCTCCCTTCCTTCTGCCAGTTTTGGAAAGGCGCGCGCGCGCACGCACACACACACACACACACACACACACACACACACACACATGCTGACTAGCTAATCCTGCCCTGTTGGAACTTAGGTGGCTATGTTTTTACTGTCACTGTACGTGTGAGTAGTAGGCTGCCGTAAATCAGCACAGGAGTACTGATATTTTTCTTTTTTATATACCCCAACATTTTTTCCTCCCAAGTCACCCAAGATGATTTACATCCTCCTCCTCCTCCTCCTCCTCTCACAACAACGATCATGTGGGGGAGGCTGGGCTGAGAGTCTGTGACTGGCCCAAAGTCACTCAGTGAGCTCCATGGCTGAGGGGCCTTAGAACCCCGATCTCCTGAGTCCGCCCCCCCCCCCCCCCCAATGCTCTTAACCACTGTGCCAGACTGGCTCTCACGTTGCTGTACCTTGGCATCTCCATCATCCTTCCAAGGAGGCGAGGCAACAGGCCACCCTCCTTTCTATACCCAAAACTAGCTGGGGAGCACCATTATTTCCCCATCCAAGGAAGGAGGTAAGGCACAGTGAGAAGGACATGGGCTTCAAACCAAGGCCCATTCAAAGAACCTTCATTCCAACAG